AAATTATGCATATTCTATAAAATTTTTCTTTTTTTTATTAATTAACAGCATTAAATAATGAATTACTTAGATATCTTACGTATTTATACAGTTCATATAAGCAATTGTTTTTGCTAATAATATTATAGATGAATAATTTTATTTTACGATTAAATTTATGTAAATATATATATTTCATATGTATACATATATATGTATTCATATGTATACATATATATAATAGCTAAATAATATTTCAAGTGGCTGAGTATGCTCAGATTACCACTTACAAAATAAAAAAAAAATAGAGATTACATAATAAAATCTATGTTGCAATCATATATATGTATGTATGTATTGAGATAATACTATAATAACTATAATAACTATAATAATAGTATATATAATATAATATTTTTAATACCCCCCTAATATTATCATTCGGTCCTCGGTGTCTACGCATTTTTACATAAGAATAAAAAGTATATATATGTATTTGATATGTCAAATTATTTGTAACTTCATTCTCGACTTCGTCCACATAGAGCCACTATTTGAATATAAGTTCATATAATCCGAAAATTCCTGTTTATTTATACATATATATTTTTAAATATATAAAACTGATAAAAATTGTAATTATCGTTGGAATGTAAGTTTAAGAGATGAATCAGATTTATGTAAATTATATAAATACAAATTTTTCTGTTATATACAATATAATTTTTATCATATTTCTATTCATCTCAAATCAGAAATTTAAAAAGATTTGTTGATGCGTGTGCGCGAGGGCGCGTGCGTGCGCGCGTGCGTACGTGCGTACTGTACTATACATTTAGATGAATACATTTTGATGAATTTAATGTTATATTTATTGTTTGTAATACTCGCAGAACTCATTATTTAATTTGTACATGTACATTGCTATATTCGTTGTATAAACAATTTTTTTTAGTATAACATTTGCGTATGAACGAAGACAGCAATATGCATTCGAAATTTAAATATGCTATTCCTAAACTTGTAAAAAAAAAGCATTGCAAATATTTTGTACACAATGTACATACAAACTAGTTGTTTTTTATGTTTATGGTTATACCGATCACAAGCTTTTAGCACAGGTTTGTGTTTTTTTTTGACTTGTATTGGTTGTGTGAATCTTGACCATTCAGAGAGGAGTAACGACCACGTGCTCGCTAGCTCGCTTTGATGGTATGGCTCCGATTTTCTGCATTAATGCATGGATCGCAGCAAACAATTTTTTAAAGTGACGATGATATTGTTTCACAACGTATGAAAAGATGTCCGTGCCCGAGAAAGTGTTAATGCGAAAAATTAAAAACGAGAGAAAACAAAATTAACGATACGCCAAGAGAAGCAAAAAGGTAAGAACATCCGATCTGTGAGGTTAAGTTCTGTGAAATAGAAATATACCGGGATCAAATGGAATTGGATCAATGAAATTGTAAGCCTTTTGAAAATAGTGAATTACAACATTACATAAATAACTACCAATATTATCAATTTTATTTGTATCAATCATTGTTTTCAAAATGCACATTTGACTTAAAAAATAATCATTATATAGATCATTATACAGATATGACTTAATCTTAATCTTAATTATGTAGTAGATTTTTTTAGTATTGATTTACGTTTTTTAACATGTATTTCTTGCCATTATTTATTTTAAATAAAATTTCTATCATACAGATGTGACTGAACTAGAAAAAATATCTGAGATAAGTCAGCAAAACGTGGAAAAAATTTCTCCAAAAAGTTAGTATAAATTATCTTTATTTCTGTAAATTATTTTTTACTTATTTTAATATTTCATATTTTAATTTTAATATTTATCATTAATATATATCATAAGAATTTTTTATTAAAAATCCAATATCATTCAAGAGTTTATTATATTTGCATTTTCTATCTTATTACATAATTATTAATTTAAATATTGTTTTTAGAAAAGAAGAAATTAAAAATGTCAAAAGAAGCAGAAAAGTATGAGGTAACCAAGAAACTCCTGGTTACTGAGAGTTGTATGTTTGAGAGTTGTATTTTTAATATAATTATATAAATGATATTTGAGTCCTGTCTAACAATATGTTCATTTATATTTTAGTACCTGGCACAGCTATAGGTTTTGAAGCGACAAATGATACCAGTTTCTCGGTATTGAGCGAAAAAGTATGTGAAAATACGCTAAAGGCGATAAAGGATATGGGTTTTACAAATATGACTGAGATACAAGCGAAGGCTATTCCACCCCTTTTAGAAGGGAGAGATTTGGTTGGTGCTGCTAAAACTGGATCTGGCAAAACCTTGGCATTTTTAATCCCTGCCATTGAATTGATTTACAAGTTGAAGTTCATGCCCCGTAATGGTAAATATGATGCAAAGAATATCTATATATAGTTTAATATGAATATTATTTATGAATTTATTCTTATATAAAAACAAAATATCAAGAGTCATTCAAATATGTATATATATTTGAATGATTGTTATGCAAATATAATAATTAAAAAAAGGAAAGTAATTATTAGGCATCAAGATCCAGCATGATTAATACTTTTCTTATATATATCTATATATTTCTAGTATAACACTTTATCTAGTACAACACTTTGTCTGTAAATGTTTTTATAAACTTTTTTCTGTTTTAATATATTTAATAGTGGATATATATAATGGAATATTTAATGACTATAATTTTTGAATATTTAATGACTATAATTTTTGCCTTTTATATAGAGATAAAAATTATTATAAAAAGAAATTTTCGATCATTTAACAGGAAAAAGGATTTAATGAGTGACTATTTGCAGGTACCGGTTGCATTATTATGTCTCCCACGAGAGAATTGTCTATGCAAACTTTTGGAGTTTTGAAGGAATTGATGAAATATCATTATCATACATATGGTCTGCTGATGGGTGGTGCCAGTAGGCAAACTGAAGCGCAGAAACTTGAAAAAGGAATTAATATTATCGTGGCGACGCCGGGACGATTATTAGATCATTTGCAAAACACACCCGATTTCTTGTACAAAAATCTTCAATGTCTGGTCATTGACGAAGCCGATCGTATTCTGGATATCGGATACGAAGAAGAATTGAAGCAAATTATCAACATTCTTCCAAGTTAATAACGCATTGCCTTTTTATCAAAATCAAGACTTTTTTCCTGTTATTATATAAGTTATTATTACAGAGCGTCGACAAACTATGCTTTTCAGCGCAACGCAGACGCAAAAGGTAGCGGCGATAACAACTTTAGCACTTAAGAAAGAACCCATATATGTAGGAGTCGATGATGACAAAGAAATGGCGACAGTGGAGGGTTTACAGCAAGGTTACGTAATATGTCCGAGCGAGAAAAGATTCTTACTTCTCTTCACGTTTTTAAAGAAAAACAGGAAGAAGAAAATGATGGTTTTTTCAGTTCTTGCATGTCTGTTAAATTTCACCACGAACTTCTGAATTATATTGATTTACCAGTAATGAGTATACATGTACGTTACTAAATTCTTCCCAATGTTATTTAAAATCATGATATTTCTGTAGACTCCTAATTTAACGTTCACACTTTCGTTTGCAGGGTAAACAGAAACAGATGAAAAGAACTACGACCTTCTATCAATTTTGCAATGCCTCTTCGGGAATTTTGCTTTGCACTGACGTGGCCGCGAGAGGTCTGGATATACCCGATGTTGATTGGATCGTGCAATACGATCCACCAGATGATCCCAAGGTAGGGATTGTCATATTATTTTGTTTGCGAATTAAAAGAAGTAGAAGATAAGTCTTCCCAATAATAAATATGGATTTGCAATTAATAAATGTATCAATTCTTAATACGAAATTTGTATTGTAATTTTTAGGAATACATCCATCGAGTTGGTCGAACCGCTCGTGGAGAGGGCAGCAGCGGCCATGCCTTGCTAATATTGCGACCAGAGGAGCTTGGTTTCCTTCGTTATCTCAAGGAAGCTCGTGTACCCGTGAATGAATACGAATTTTCTTGGAATAAAATAGCTGACATACAATTACAGGTATGTGCATAATTCTCTCTTTAAAATTTATTCTTTGAATATTTTTTCGTTTAGATCGTTAATTTTAATAGTATTTAAGCCGAAACTAACATGTATAAATATTCATATAAGCTTTAGCAGAAAAATCGAGAGATATGCAATTCAATATAAATTTAATAAAAATATTTCAAAAACGATATCGATAAAAATTATTTTCTTCTTCAGCTTGAAAAATTGATATCAAAAAATTACTTTTTACATCAGTCGGCAAAGGAGGCATTCAAAAATTATATCAGAGCATATGATTCGCATCATTTGAAGCAAGTTTTTGATATAGAGACTCTGGATCTGGCGAAAGTGGCCAAATCGTTCGGATTTATTGTACCACCAGCAGTAGACTTGAGTAAGTCTTTTAGAATTAATTGATAAAAGTCATATTACATTAATAAAGACATTAATTGTAAATATCTTTAAACCTTAAATATTCATTCGTATTTTTCTATCAATAACTTGTAGAAAGAAAATGATATTATTTATATTTATCATTTCATTTAGCGCGTAAATTAATTATTTTTTTTTTCAAATTAGTCTTCATGTTTTTTAGTTATTTAAAAAAATATGCACTACTAGTTTATCAAGTTTTCAACTTATTTTTTTCTTGTTTAATTCCATAACAGAAGTGGGAATCAGTAAATCTTCACGACCACGAAAAAGGCTCGGCGGAGGCGGTTATGGTCATTTTAAAAACATAAACGATCCGAGTTCGGCAAAACGGTTGAAACGTACCAAGACCTTTTGTCAGGCAGGCAAACGTAGGCAAGACAATCGACAATTCAGCAGATAAGTCATTCTCGCGCACCTTAGAGACGCAGACGATAGACAATGGTGTACGATGGCGGCACATCATTAGGGATCAATTTAACGATATTAATACATTCCGGTATGGTAATCTGAGGATCGATAGCATAGCAACCTGGATCAATTGCTAGAGAATAGCCTGCGCTTTCGAAGCAAGTTTAGAATGGCAAAACTTCTTAGTCGCTGTCATAAGCATTATTTCTAACGATAATATACATAATAATCTTCTATTATAATAAGTTTCGAAATTGCAGCAAAAATTACATTGCCATGACCCATGATTTCTGCATCCCTTTTCGATGTATTTCATCATTGAAATCTATAATCTTCGCCAGAGACTGAATCCATCGTTTCTTTATGTACATTCGAAGCGAAATAAACTCTACTCTAAATAGCTTCAGTAAACGATAACTCGAATACCCACTAAATGACTTTCTTTCGCGTGCGATTCTAGACGTAAGAACATTCGAGATGCCATCAAGCTTCAATTAAAGTACAATTTACGTTTAACGTCGGAAAAAGATTAGAAACATTCGTTTTAACTATCGTTCTTCAGCCTTCAGTCTTTATTCGGCCTTTTCTTAATCGATCTGAATTGTTCTATCTGCTACCCCCAAGTTTCTCATCGAATTAGTCAGATTCCACGAATGCATATAGTTTTTTTCCTCGATGCGAAGATTATAAAAGCTATTGAGACTGGGAATGGAGGAAGGATACGGAGTAACAAGAGAAAAAGTCCAAGACGAAGTAATTTATAACGCGCGACACCCACACGGTTTTCACGTTGAGGCCATGTATGGACGCGTGACGTCAACGTCACTTTTGCATTCGCCGACGTGTGCGTGCGTGCGTGCACGCGTGCATACGTGCGTGCGCGCGCGTGTAGGCGCTGGATACACGGCATAGAAGGTAAAGTCCGTGGGAGAACGTTAAAGAGGCGGCGTAATCGGCGCGGCCGATCGATCGGCAATCACACACCTTGAATTCGACCTGTCGTTCCGTCTGTATTTCATCGTCGCATTTTTCGGAATTGTCGAATAAGCGATTGTGATCGATCGAATAGGACCTAAGAATAGAAACGTTTCGCGCTTTGATAGTTCGATAGTTCGAGTTTACGAATTCGACCAAAGATGTTCAGCATATCCAGCCAGTTCGAGCATCTAAATTCGAATAATTAATAATTTTTTCAAAAACATCGTTCGGATATTTATAGCTGTTGTGACTTTAGCGCGAATTCAACAATCATATCTTCGAGTATCAAGGCACAAAATATGATTTTCTTTATCGTCTTATTTGGCGCCTGTATTTCGAATTAATGGTAATTTTGCCAGCGCGGTTTCTTGCAATTATTGCTTCAATTTAGCTTCATTTAACTTCTATATTTTTTATTAATTACAACTGATTTATTATTGCGATCTATTTCATAATCTTCGTTAATGAAATGGACTAATAGAGTAATGAATATTGAGTGAAGTCTCGATCCGACTTCTTCATGGCTAAAGAGAAAGGTGAGGGAAGAAATGAGATTTCGTTACTTTTATTCCGCGCGTTTGAACGTTCCGCAAATGTAGCCATGCGCGTTCTCTTTATAGCGGTCCGTAAGAACCGGTGATGAACGACATCGTTGGTTGTCAACGGTGACTACCTTGTAATGGCATTTTCATCAGTAATCCAATAGAACAGAAATTGCAACAAAGTGTCCCTCCTATAGAATCGAATTGTTTATACATATGTTGGATCCCGTAACGAAAGCACGCCTCGCGCGCGAGGCACGATACTAGAATAAATTTTTCTATCCGAATGACGAGACGTGACCGGAATTCGCAACGATACTCGCGACAATCTCAATATCATTCGTTAAACCGATTAATCATTTCTCGCGTTTCTCCTCGGAATCTTGAAATTAAAGAAAAAAAATCTTAACTCGCAAGAAAATGACTTAAAACAAAAAATGATTTACAATTTTAAAATGATTCTTATACGCGAGCGACGACACAGACAAAATTAATTTGGATCGTTTAGAAAAGACATTAATTGGACAAATTGTTAATCTGATAGTAATTTGAGCGAAATCATAAACTGCTGTAAATTATCTAGCTTTGAGGGCGATGTTGTAATCTCATATCGACGTCGCGACGTCGAGATTAGGCGTCTCTGAGATTAGTAAAATTCTTCAGAAGAAAGAAGAGAAGAAGCAAATCTCAGTTAAGTGTTGTTGGTTTGCAGCACGTGCGTCGTTAATGTATGAATCGGCGACACGCTCGCAGCTATCACCTTGTACGTTCACGCTTTGGTCGGCGCGTATATTGCAAGCGGGTAGGTAGAGTTTATTAATTATGCATTCTAAGGCACGCCGGAGGTCCGAGATCGTAATGATGTTGCGCACCGTTGATGTAATGCACCGATCTCCGTTGGGAGAGGCCGGTTGCGCACTCAGGATATGCTCCACACACGGCCCATTTTTATTTTTCTCCACTTCCATGAAACGCGCGCGTTTGCAAGTGACGAGGAAGCGCGTCCATCTTAGCAATCGGCGTCTTATTCATTCATATCAGAAGTCGCACAAAGAGCTTTACGCTGCAACTTAAAAGCTCTCAAGTCCAGTTGGAAAAAAGACCATAATTGCAAATATTTCATTTTTCGCACTTGTCATATTGCGTTTTTAATTTTTAACATTTTGATTGCCTTATTTAGCGAAACACTTGAAAATAAACAGATCAAATATGTTCGTCATATTAGAAAATTTTATAGGAAGGGTTAAACGAATTCTGAGACCGCGTACGCAGCTCGTATGCGCGCGCATATCGTCGCGTGAGATCCCGAGCCAAGATTAAAAATTGTAATTGGAGACGCGGGGAACATCGGAAAGATTTCGGAGGAAGTGGTCTTTCCCCTCGGGGATCTCGCGGGGTCTACTCCGGTCGATTTCGAAATCGAGGAAAACGATTCTGAAACGCAAAATACGGACGCGATTTGCACCTCGCAAAATTGTCGGCGAAGGAGTTGCGTGTGTGTAAAAAAATAAAATGATTTGCCTCACGCCATGTATAATACACGCGCAACCCGCGCCGAGAGAAACGGGTGGTGCGTTGGCCCACGGACGCGAGCCTGAATTATCCAACTCCGCGACACGATGGTATGGCACGGTGTATCTCCCTTTCTCTTGTCCCTTACCGCCTGTCTCACTCTCACTCGGCGCTAGCGCGTATGCAGAGGCTGTATATGGTAGTGGGCGGTAGACGCGCAGCAACGGGTGAGGAGGCGCGCGGCGATAAGAGGGAAGGAGGATGGAAGAGCGCGACGCGTGGAGCGCGCATGCGCCCGCGATCCTGATTTTCGCCGCGATTCGGCCTCCCTCGGCCCGGTTCGGCACGGGCGCGCATGCACGGGCGGTGCAGTATCAGTAGAGTTGAGAATTCCGAAGCGCGTGTACTTAGTTTTGAATTCTCGCGATCCGCATTCCTCAATTTTAATTTCGCAAGAGTGCAAGCGTGCGAGAGAAAGAGACATACTTCGTTATCTCCACGCATGTTTAATCCTTTTTCTCTCTCCTGCTATTTCACCCGATTTCCTCTCTGTTTTTCTTTCATTGAAACTCCGTCGAGCATTCTTTATCTTCGACGTTCCATCTCTCTCATGTTTTCTTCCTTTTCTTGCTTCTCTACGCGCTCTGTCTCTCTCTCTCTCTCTCTCCGCCCGTATCTCCCTCCCTCTCTTCCTCCCATCGAGTCACGTCGCTTCTTGCGATCTACAGCCAGCGCGCATTTGCGTTTACCAGTGAGAGCGTTCCTGAAAGCACGATAGTCGACTGTGACGACGTGTGAGGACTCGCGTTTCGGAGGAAGAGAGATCGTCGGGAACAGCGAACAGGATCGAAAACGCCAAGTCCAAAGAAAAAAACGAGATAGAAGAGACGATATTGGGAACGTGCCTGGTGACGGAATTAAATCTGCGAGAATCGAAGGAATCGCGCACGATAAACGCGCAGATAGGAGCGATCAAGCAGAGCCCCAGATTACATCGCTGAGGGGGAAAAAAAATAGAAGAAAAGAGGGAAAGAGAAAAGGAACGAAACGCGTACGCGACAGGCGAGGCGACTTTACGACTCTCTCGGAGGAGTGTCGCTCGCCCTCGCGCGCGCTCGCTCTCCGGCTCCCTCCCTTCCAGTCCCCCTCTCTCCTACCTCCCCCCTCTTCGCACTCGCACCACCCTCACCTCGCGCGCGGTTCCTCTACGCTTTAGCAGTCTTTCCTCTCCTCTTCTTTTCCTTACCCGCTATCTTTCCTCCTCTCTCTTTCTCTGTCCCCCCCCTCTCTTCCCCCCTACTCGCCGTGTCGCCGGCCTCTCCCCCCAACCATTCTCTCCCCGTCTTTGCCGTCTTTGCGCTCCGGCTCCTTTTCTTTTAAACGCTCCTTCGTCAGTACGTCTCCGCCCGTCCGCGCGCGTTTGGTGATCTTCTGTGATCGGAGAGAGAACAACTCCGCCGTTCTCCGTCCGTTCCGACACCGCGCTGCCGCCGCTACCGCCACCGCCACCGCCACCATCGCTGTCGCGATCCGCTCCTCTCTAACTCGTCTCCCCTTGAGTGTTGCATTAAGCGTGCCCGCGCGCGCCCAACACGCGCCAACATTCGCCATTGAAGGAACCGAGTACAATTTGCGATGTGTGATAATACTAACACGACGACGCAGAGTATAGCGGACTACCTGTCACAATTGTTGAAGGACCGGAAGCAGCTAGCTGCCTTCCCAAATGTCTTCATTCACGTGGAGCGTCTTTTGGACGAGGGTGAGTGATTTCTTCCTCTTTTTCTCTTTCTCTCCTCTCCCCCTCCTCCCTCTCTGCCTCCCTCTCCTTTATTTTTTACTCCTTTACTCTTTTTTTCGTTCACCTCTGCGGTCTACGCGCATTCGAGCGAGATGGTTAATCCGATCAAGCGGGAAAGGTCGAAGGTAAGGGTACTTCCGGGAAATCCAGAAATAAATGTAGGCGCGCCGCGAAATGCCCGCTCCGAATTTGATCGGTCCCCTCTTTCCCTCCTCGACTTCTCGTCGTAAAACACGCGAGATCTCGCGATGCGCCATTTTGCGCACCCGACGTGTTTCCGATCGCGCTCGATAATGAATTTTTCATCATGACGTAACGGAGATTGCGTGTTTATTCTTCTCCCTGTCAGTCGTCCTCGCGGCGAGGAGCTCGTCCTTGCTCGTTCTCATTCGTCTATCTGAATTATGGATTTTATTCACTATGCGATTGTTTTTTTTTTTTTTTTTTGTTAATTCGTCATCGTTGTCAATACCGTCACGAAATCACCAATTCCATCCATAAATGCCATCAGCGAATTCCTACGGCGCTGCGCTATGAATAAGACTTATACCGGGTGTCTCGCAATGTTTCGACTCCGCAAGCGACTTTTGGCGGAGATATTTAATTTTGTGATGCGTCGCGCTTCTCGAATCATCTCGAGCGTTTCTCTTCCACGCGTCTTTCCGATAAACTCATCGAATTCTTCGGGTCGCTCGCGATTTCGCACGTTTTCGCGAAGTTAATTCGCGAAGATGTCGGAACGCGCGCCGGTGTTTCTCGCACCGACAGTGCGATAAGAGCAACGCGTGGTACGTCTCCGGGACGATATGTACCGAGCGTACGCTGGTGATCGACCTCGTTTCCGCTTCGCTCCCGCGAATGAGGAAAAAGTGATACGTTCCCTTCTATCCCTCCCCTCCTTTCCACCTCCTCGCTCTTTCCTCCTGTTTACCGCAACGCTCGAACGCGCGATCGGGATGAACGACTTGTTCGCGAATAAAATCCCGCTCGCATCAGGGACGTGGAACACCATATGTCAGGTGCTGCTTACCCCCCGCGGGTGCCTTATCCGCGCTCCTTTCGCTATCGCGACGCGGCGCGTGTGTGTCACGTGGCCGGCCGGCGTAGCGGCGGCGTGCTCGTTCGGGAATTACAACGAACGTCATTGGTTAATCGATTCCCGGGTATGTCGACGGTCGAACTAGAAAATAACTTCGTAGCACAACTTTTTGTATCTTCCATCTTTTTTCTTTCCTCCCTCAGCATTCACGTAGCTCATTCATTTGAGGCACAAAAAATTTCAAAAGGTTACGGAAAGTAGATCTACGATAAAATAACATTATATCATCTATTTTGTTTTTTATTAATAGATAATTAACGTGCTCTGTTACGTGTTCAAATTTAAATTATGAAATGAAATTCACATGCGAACATCTTGATATCTCGAAATTGTACCTTTTGAGAACGAAATTATTGATTTGCTCTCGAAGAAACGTATGTTTAATCTTTGATTGACAGCGATCGAGGACGGAAAAAAAGCGCAATACAAAATAAAAATACGAGTGAGAGATTCTTTTGCGTTTTGTAGACCGGTTGCATTCCGACAATTCACTTCACAGATCCAAATCTAAGAGCCGATAAAATTGCATAGCCGTTCGATCGCGCGTAAAATGTGTGGAATAGCCGATACGCATAAGTATCACGCGAAAGGTCGGTCTTCATTTTTAGCAAGCGCGAATGAGGTTTGAGGTTATCGCGAATATCGCCGGTAAATTCGATTGCATTAGTTGTGCGTTACCCCGCGAGGAAACGCATGATTATTACGGTATGCTCGCATCAGCGATTTATGACAATCGCGTCTGGTAACAATACGAACGTAACGCATGGGTTGGCAATTTTTTTTTGCTTTATAAACTATTATTCGTATTATTAATTCGTATTCATAAATAAAACGAATGATCGAGATTTGTCAATCATCTAGAAATATTGGAATAGTCGTGAATTGAATGCACCATATTCGTAATTTTCCCCTTTGATTCTTTTCTTAAAAAAATAGTATATCTTTAATTTCTATGGAAATTGTATAAAGTATTTACAAGTAAATTTTTAATTATCTCATTCTTAGCCATCGATCTGTTTTTTTTCCCTTCCATAAATTTATGTACAATTTTGCATCTTTTTTTTCTTTGGAGGTTGCCCGTTTCTACGGACACAATCGTATCACGTTTTTTTATCCCATTTCTCTGTCTCTTTCTCTCTCTCCCTCCTCCCTCCCTTCCCTTCCTTCGCTTTTCTACGACGTTCCATATTATTCTCCGGCTGACTCAAAAAGTCTTCAAGTTGCGAACTGGATTCGCACAGATTCGTGTTTGGAATCGATTTCAATCGGCGAAGCGATCGGTGCGCGAGTGAAAGGAACGTACCCGGTAAATATTTATTTATACGCTAGTTGTACCGCTCGGCGGCAGCACTTGTCGCTCATGTTGTTGTGTTGTTTTGCCCGTCGCTTTGCATGACGGTGGTTCTGAGTGGTGGTGGTGATGGTGGTGGTGGTGGGAATGTTGCCCGGCGGCATCATCGGTCGAAATCGGCGAGATTAGCAGCAGCATGCGTTTTACGGCCGATCCACGTACGCAGAAAAGACGCTGACCTCGCGCCGTAGCGCCGTAGAATCGCTTGGGCACTCTCGATATACGTCTCTCCTTCCCGCCCGTTCGCCGCCTCGCAATCCCTCTCGTTTCCCACCGCCTCCGCCTCGGCCACTCGGTACACCGCTCACCAGAGATCTCCGATCCGCTCTCGAGGAATAGGTTCCCGGCGCGTAAACGCTCGATTCGCAAAGACTCCCGGAATTCGCGTGACTTGTTTTTTTCTCTCTTTCCTCTCCTTTTCTTTTTTTAATCGCGTGTGTGCTTGCGCGCGCGCGCATACCTGTCCTTAACGCGGACGAATCAACGGTACTACGCCGTTCGACGAAAATTGATATTCCGTTGCGCGGAATCGCGCGTTCGCCGTCGCCGCCGCTTTGATGTCTATAATTCGCCGCGGTCGTCTCTTTATGTAATATACACCAGAGAGTGTTGTAACAACTGTCTCGTTACTTCGAGGAATCTCTTGATTTATCCTTTGCTTAGGAAAGACACGCACGGAGATGTGTTTCCCATTAAAATTGTCTTTCCGATAAGACTAATTTTTCGATTGAAAAAACTTGCGGGATGTATTCGTCCGAATAAATTTGTCCCTCGTGTCCCTCCGCCTCCATCCCCCTCCCATCTTCTTTTCTTTAAGCGAGTCCCCGATTTCCGATCGGCGATTTATCGCGTCGTAGCGCGAATTACATCGCGAAGGTGCGGGACCAGCTTTGGAAAGTCGCGGGAGAAAGCTGGTATCCGTTCATTTTATTTTACGCGCTGGAAAGCAATGCTGCATCGCACACTTACGGGGGACACTTAATATTCCCCGCGTGTGCTGGGAACACTGGCGAACCCACGTCGCGCTATACAAAAGGAAGAGAAGCAGGTTCCTCACAACACCAAGTCCTTCAAACATAAACGAGACCGAAAGGTGTTCTTTTTTTTCTTGCAGAAATTCGTCGATGATCGTATTAACACGTGCGGTACACCTTGCGTGATAGATTATATTTCAGTTAGTTTTTTTGAAGATCTTTACTCTTTTATATTTTCTTGAAAAAGTTTACAAATTTATTTTTCCATGGTCTGGATTGCAACGGTGAGACCTTTTTCAGCCTATTAAAAACTGGTATTCATTCGACACCAACAAAAGTTGTAGAATGTGGCGAAAGGTCCTTTTCTAGAATTTAAAGGACTTTTGTGGTTTTCCGGGTTATACGAGAACCTAACATTTGAGGGACAATTTTCCATTTCCCTTCTTTGTTTTGAGATAAAAATCTTTTTATCTTATTCGATTACATTGTTGCACGATGAAAGTCTTTGACCTAAAAAAATTCGTAACATGAAATACGCATTTCCATTCACAAGAGAATGTTGCTATCACTTCCCGTGTTCATTTTCAGTTTTCATTTCTCTTTGTCGTTTGTATACATATGTACGAAATCATTAGAAGTACTTTCTTGAGAAAACAAAACATCTTTGAAAGTTTCTCAAAAAAATATCTATTGACTGCGTCCCTTCGTTTACGATAAACTTTAGCATAATGCGTTACACCTGTTCAGCGATTATCCGTTAGCTCATTTATAATTATAATAAATCCTCAAGCAAAGAATTTTAGATAAGGGGAAAGACAATAATGTACCATAATCTTTTCTTTCAAAATATTTAGTGAGTGATAAATCTACCTTTGATACCCTTTATACTTAATAATTCTTGATGGATTCAAGACTTGAAAAGCATATAGAACTCATTAAATTGAGTAAAAAATGTCTACTCAACATAGATCAAATTAATTTTATCGAGAGAAGCGATTTTTTGTTATTTATTCTTTAAATATTCTTTTCAAATTCTCTACGCAAACGTATTTTTCATAAAATGAAATGAATGGAATTTTTAAATATTGATTAACTCTACGAAGATACTTTAGTAATAATCTTAATAAAAACTAAACGATTCTAAAGCTGAAAAGTATAATTTATCTAATCAACGATGCGTCTAAGTAACCGCCTAATTAACTCTTTACGAGGACTGTCGGAAGACTTCAAAATTCCATCGAGTTTCATTCCTCTTAATCAACGTTTCCCTTTTAAGAATCACATCTGATTACTATGGATTATATACCAAATTGAAGCGATACGATTTCTTTTTTAACAAATATGCCAAATATTGCCCATTCAAGTAAATATTCATCACAAGTATAATAAATAACTTTCCATCCAAATAATCCTTGACAAATTTAAGCGATCGATTTCTTTTCGTTATAATCTCCCCCGTCCTTTTTTCCGGCACGGTTGAGAGACACTGTCGCGAGTGCTCGCTCGAGCATCTATGGGTTTTTACATCTGTTGTACG